ATATGTTTTAACAACTTGCTTTTTGTACTTCCTTTTATTCTGTGATTATATCGAATGTCTGTTAGTCATTGTCCTAAACACTGGGGATCCAGAAGGGGAGGAGAAGAAAGCAGGTAATAGTCTTTGTCCTTGTGGAGTTTCCACTCTAGTGGGAGGAAATAAAATGTTGCATGGTAGATAATGATGAGTTCCAAGGAGGAAAATAAGGGAGGGGAATAGGAAGTCTCAGCATTGCATGTGGTGAACATGAGATAGAATTCTAGGGAGAGTGGATGGCCCCTCTGATGGAATTCTTCAGGATAGACTAGAAAAAAGCTGATAGAGCAAAGTTCACCACAAACAAGCTGAGAGAAGGAAGAAAAGTGGCTATCAGGGAAAGATGGACCCATGGATGAGGATAGAGAGGCAGCTCTCTCAGATTATGCACGAATTTACATTTCTCTCTCTTTCATGTTTCTTCACAAAATTTTTATTACTTAATATTATATTACATATTTATCTTTTGAGTTTAATATTTCCTTTTCCCCCCACAAGCACATAAGCTCCACAAAGACAAGACTTTAATATCTTTACTGTAACTGTATCTGACTCAGTTTAAGAACTCAATGTTTTTGAATAAATTATTGATTGAGTGCAGGAAGGAGGGGCTAGAACATAATAACTACGGAAGAGTGAAAATGGAGAAAAGGTTTTTGAGTTTGGCAGGAAAGTATTTACTGGCCTGGTAGCCTTTATGGGTCTTTGATAATACACTAAGTCTTGGGCTGGGGATGGAGAGAAAGGATTAGAAGAGACCAGATAAAGAGATAGCACCTGGTTCTTAGCTTCCTTGACAACAGTAAAAAAAAGTAGGTGTTGGGACCAGCAGTTAGCATAATCGCTATGTTGCTGGACTCCCACAGTCGACCGCGGTTCGCGTCCTGGACCTGGTGGTTTAAAACTCACGCTGGGCACATGTGCATGCGTGCCCAAGATCCCAGGAGGAGAAGGGATTGCGGCTTGGCCATTTTGCGTGTCATGTGTGAGCAAATGTTCCTTAAAAAAAAAAAAAAAAAAAAAAAAAAAAAAAAAAGAAAGAAAAAAATAGGTGTTAAGAGCTGTCTATGATATGTTGGATTCTTTTCCTTGGTCTTGTTTATTTATGATTTATTTATCTTCTTAAATGGATACTTTACCAAATTGAGCATGTGTTGTTATGCTGATCCAGTGCGTTCCTTGGAGAACTGACAAATCCCACCTTGCTCATTGTTAGCATAATTTTAATTAATGTGTCTTAAACCCCATGTTAAGACTTAGCTATAATCTCATTTACTGTGTGGGAGGTGTTAATCTGTTTCATGATTTAGGCAAAAAGCTTAGGAAAGAGATATCCCCAAACTGCAGAGCATGAAACACAGCTAAGCCTAAATGGCAGAAAAACATTTCCGTAATGAAATGAGTTAATGTATGTGAAAGAGCTTTGTAAGCAAGATTAAAATAGACAAATAATGTAATTGAAAAGACACTGTATGTCTTCTTATCTCAGCCTGAAAAATGTGGGGCACTCAAAGCTACAACTATATTATCTTATTATAGAAGGCAAATCCTATGAAATCAGATATTTACCCTACAGTATTTAAAGAGAAATCCTCAAGACTATGAATTGTTTATCCCCAAATCTTTTAAACATTCTATGCTTTTAATCTGAAGACTATATAATGCTAGGAAAGAAAAGAAAATTCTGTCCTGGAATAAAGATGGTAAAACTTTGTAAGTAAAACATTTCGGGGATGAGGGAGCATATCTGATCCTAATTGGAAAGCCCAAACAAGGCAGGTAGAGCTCAAAACAAAGATTGCAAAGTTAATTAATTCCTTGAGACCGTGTTAATAACTCCAAAACCAGAAATGATCTGCTGGAGGAATCTTATTTTTGTTAATCTTAGAATCTTCCATCCTGTCTGATTCCATCATAAGGAAAAGTTACTAAAGAAAATTAACACATCTTAAGTAGGATCATCATGGATTATAATAAAGTAGTTATAATTGAAACATTAAATAGCTTTTCTCATAGGCTTATTTTGTAGTAACTGTTAACTATTTTTGAAAGTGATCTGTGCTGCTTATATAAAACCGGTCAAAAAATATTTAGTGCAAAGTTGGAGACACTTAATATGTAGATTTTTTTTTGTATATCATCACATCAGATTAAAACTTTAAATGTTACGTTAAGGGCCAGGTGGTGGTGCAGTGGTAACATAACTGGACCCACATGGAAAAGGTCCTGGGTTCACGTCCTAGTTCTGTGCCCTGGGCTGGCTGGGACTGGGGGTGGATCACAGCATGAGGACCCTGTAGGGGGGGTGCCTGTCTCTCTGTTTCTCTCTGTCATGGAAGAACTCATTAAAACCTTTTAAAAATTATTTCTTTAATTTTATTTATTAAAATAGCTCCCTAGCTAGCTCCCCTAGCTCCTACACCAGCACATGAAGGCTCTTGGGCCCCTTTTAGGCAGCATCGGTGGGATGCTGTCAAAAGTTGAGACGTACGTACTCTTGAGAGTATGTCTCCCTAGCATCCAGGTGAGCTTCGCATCCCATATTCTTGCCCATCCTGCTTTAGAGCCTCAGGCTCCATCTTCACCCCCCTCAGTGTTTTTACTGAGTGGATGTTAAGCTCTTACTCTCTGTCTGCTGTCAGCAACCAGTCATGTGTCCAGTCTTCTCAAAACACCAGAGGCTCCATGGCTGTTGCTGTTGGATCAAATCCCTCCCTCATTTGCTGGAGACATTGTTGCATCTATGTAAGATACAGATGTTTAATATATCTACACATTTTTTTTTTTAATTTGATGAGAGGGAGTAAGAGAGAGAGAGTGAGAAAGCAAACTGCCAAGTTTGGGACTTGAACCATAGTCAACTATGTGGGAGTCCAGCACCTCAACCACCATGCCATCTGCTGGCTATAAAAAAATTAAAAGTTTAAAAAAATCTGCCTTAAATAAAAACTAAGAAAGATACATTTTAAAGTTATTTTAAAGTTGTTTTCTTGCAAAATGAACATTAGAAATATGTATTTTGATTACTTCCTAGAATATAAGTATAAAAAGTATTTTGAAACAGACAAAAGTAGTTTAGAAATGGTTTTATTTATATTCCCTACCCATAAGGCTTTTATTTCTCTTGATTTGAGTGAAACAGAAAATGGCAATGATGGACAGCTACACAGCATAGCTGTTGCTAGGCTACATGTGTGCCCATTTAACCTGCTTCTTGACAGCCCACAGTTTTCACAATACTATGTAAAAACATGCCTTTTTTTCCTGGAATGGGAGTAAAGGGAGGGCTGACATCCTCTCCAGGCCATGTTTGTCTCACAGGTTAGAGAGGATGCAGGAGAAGGATACATACACAATGAATATACTTCAAAAAACTGACAGTTCCACAGCACACAGCAGATAACGGAGACGGATGACACGGTTGTGTCTCAGCGTGCGCTCAGGGATCCTCAGATCAGGAGCAGACAGGAGCTTTTGCCTTACCCTGTCTTCTCCATTTTCCTTTTTACTGTCTATTCCCCCACCTTCTCAGGGACTTACAAAATACATAAAGGGGGCATTCTGAGTCTCTCTCCCTGAGGGCACAAACACATGCATTCACTTGTCTCTTTCTCTATCATCTAAAGAAGTGTATCTGCAGAATGTTTGTTTTCTGTGAGTCCTGTACAGTGGGTCTTAGGATTCCCAAAGTAATGGAAGACCTGACTTTGAAATGGTACACTCCATCCCCCAACTCTTCCAACACCCTTTCATTCACTCACACAGGTGTGCCCTCACTCAAGGTGCCACTAACCCCCCCTAGCTCCCGCACCAGCACATGAAGGCTCTTGGGCCCCTTTTAGGCAGCATCAGTGGGATGCTGTCAAAAGTTGAGACGTACTCAAGAGACCTCCCTAGCATCCAGGTGAGCCTCACAACCCCCTATTCTTGCCCATCCTGCTTTTAGCACCTCAGGCTCCATCTTCACCCCCCTCAGTGTTTTTACTGAGTGGAGGTTAAGCTCTTCCTCTCTGTCTGCTGTCAGCAACCAGTCATGTGTCCAGCCTTCTCAAAACACTAGAGGCTCCGTGGCTGTTCCTGTTGGATCAAATCCCTCCCTCATTTGCTGGAGACATTGTTGCATCTATGTAAGATACAGATATTTAATATATCTACACAAATATTGGTAGAAATATAAAAATCCCTTTAAAGAGGGAACCAGCAATTAGCGTAATGGCTATGTCACTGGACTCCCACATAGTCGACTGCGGTTCACATCCTGGACCCTGTGGCTTAAAACTCACGCCGGGCGCATGTGCGTGTGTGCCCAAGATCCCGAGAGGAGAATCTAGGAGAAGGGACTGCGGCATGACTATCCCCCCTGGGGGGTGATTTCTCGCTGTCTCTATGTCTCTCTCTGTCTGTCTGGTGAACGCATGTGCCCTATAGCGAAAATCTCTAAAAAAAAATCCCTTTAAAGAAATGACAGAAGTAAATATGGCAGTGATAATGGGATATTTCTTTTCTTTCTTTCTTTTTTTTTTTTTTTTTAATTGTCAGAGGGCACCTCTGACAAGAGAGAGAAAGAGAAAAGCAGAGAAGCAGGGAGAGAAAACACTCCCCCATGCCATGGGATATGGTCACACCGCCGCCATCTTTGCCATTTCTCCATCCAAGATTTGGGGGCATGCATGCACACATGCTCAGCATGTTTATCAAGACACTTGGAATTCAAACTGTGGTCAGCCATATGGGTTCTACTTTCCTTAAACCACTGGACTGTAGGGCTGGCCCAATGCAGTCATTCTTGAGATGCACACCAGTATTATTTACGTAGCACATTCTCTTCATAGTATGTACATAACTTGACTCTTAGTGACATTATGATCTCTTTTCTGATGTGGGCTCTGCTATTCAAGATTTTTTTGTCAACTCTATATGTTCTGTGTTTTTGTACAGTTTTAAATGAAGAGCTTGTTTTTCAGATTTTAGATGAGGATGACACTGATGTTTCATTGAAACAAGAAAAAATGGAAGTTCCTCTTACAAACAAAGGTAAAAAAAAAGAATTTGACTTATATATATTAGCTGTAATGTTTGAGGCATTTCTCCCTCCCTCTCTACAAAATTTACCAGAAGCCATATGTGATCTTTAGAGAGGGTAGGGGGAATGAGAAAGCATCCCCGTCTTCCCCCATGGGAGATGGCCATGCCACGATCCCTTCTCCTCCATTTCTTCCTCCTTTTGAGATTTTGGGCACACGTGCACCTGCATTGGGAGCTGGGAGTCAAACCATGGTCAGCCATGTGAAATCTTGCTGTCTACATATGGGGATATACATTAACTATTACGGTAAAAGGCCAACCTGATTCTCTTTTTTTAATATTAGACCATTGGGCTCAAGTAGCACAGTCATTATTTTCATTGTGATAATTTTGTTCTGATAGGAGTTTTAAAGCCCTTCTTAGTCTCCTTAGTGTTACAACTCATTTAGCTTCATCATTCCCGATGCTTCTTTACATTGATCCAGGCCATCACTTTGTGTTCACTTTTGGTGGTAAGTTCTTCCTTCATACTTCATTGCATAGGTAACTTAGTCAGCTGTTTGTTCACGACTTTCTTTTCTTTTCTTTTTTTTTTTTTCTTTTGGAGAGGTTTTCGCTATAGGGTGCGTGCACTCGCCAGACAGAGAGAGACATAGAGATAGAAAGTGAGAAATCCCCCCCCCCGGGGGGATGGTCACGCCGCAATCCCTTCTCCTCCATTCTCCTCTCGGGATCTTGGGCACGCACGCACACGTGCCCGGCGTGAGTTTTAAGCCACCGGGTCCAGGACGCGAACCGCGGTCGACTACGTGGGAGTCCAGTGACATAGCCATTACACTAACTGCTGGTTCCCATTCACAACTTTATTTTTGAACCCAGTAGCGTAGTATGTAAGGCGTCATCACACTTTTTTATTTATATCTTATTTAGGATAATTCCACAATCAAGATTTCCTTTATAAACATTTTTTAACTTTAAAGCCAATCTGCAATAACCTTCTCAAATGTACCATGCCTTCAAGTGTGATCCTGTTGAATTTCCAAGTTGTAATGGAAAAAAAAGTTAATATAATTTTGATACTGAAATTAATATTTAATTTCAAGTATTTGTCCTGAATTTGGCAGAAACAAATTGTGAACCTTTTTTCATAATTGTAGTTATAAATTAGTTGACTGTTGGGCTAAAAGATTTCACTTTGTGTGCAGGTCCGTGAGTAAAACCAATGGTGACCATAGCATGATTGGAAAGCCTCTGTCTGATCATTCTCTTTTATATTTTACCCTGAGGAGTCCAGTAAATCCTTGGTCATTTACCCACCATCTAAAATGTCCCTTGTTTCTGTCCTGTTCTACTTGGCCTTCAATAGCCCTGAACTTATTGGCAAAGGTTTACTTAGTGGAACAAGGTATCAGGATGGTAATAACAGAATTCTACACATAGGGGGCAGAAGGACACATTGACTTGCATATTCAATTCCAAGACTCTCTTTAAAACAGAACAAAGGAATCATAGGATTTCTGCTTTACTGTGTACTGAAAACAAGCCATCAACCTCTCTGAATCTAGAATTCTTTTTTTTTTTTTAGAGAGGTTTTTTTTTTTTTTTGTTTTTTTTTTGTCTTTTGCTATAGGGTGTGTGCACTTGCTGAGAGAGACAGAAAGAGGGGGAAGGGGAGAAAC